TTTTTTTTTTTAGTTAGTTAGTTGTAATTCTTGGCTGAATATATCTAGCAGGTTTTAAAAGCCCTTTAAAATTTAAATATGAACACAGTTTGGATTAAATAAAAGTAGTCAAATGTTATCTCCTGTATAGACTTTACTGTACAATGACTTAATGTTTTCTAACGTGAGTTAGATCTAGTAACATCTTACAGTGAGTGAACAATATATTTTTAAAACATTCATTAATGTTTGTGAATGTTATTTAATACAAACACTTAATCACTCATGTTTGTTCATTGTGCATTAAATAATTTTAACAGATTGAACTTTGAAATGAACCCTAAGAAGAAGAATTGCCATATAAATATTGTTTATTGTTAGGTCATGTTATCTAACAAATAAAATCTTATTGTAAAGTGTTTTTAATACTACAGTTTCCATCTATTTGATATACACTTAATATTTGTAATCATATCGAAATTTATTATAAAAGCTGAGGTTTGGTATTTACTGAAAAGTTATATTTTAGCTGGTGTCAATGATCTTACGTTGCATTTGGTCAGACTCAGCACATTGCTTTACTTAAGTATATTATATTTTCCTTTCACAGCTGCAGACTGAGGAAGATCCTGAAACACACCAGCAAACCCTAAACCAGACAACAGTTTACAGATGTTTTTCAGCGGCCGCAGAACTATGACTTTTGGGTGAAACTTGTTTACTTTTTCCATACTTTTATTACTTGTGGGAAAACTTGAAACACTTTTAAATAAGTATAAAGCATTGGTTTTGTACATTTAATTTTTGTTTAACGTTATTAATAAAAATGTTGTTCAATTAGCATGTTTTTGCATTTTGCTTTGGTACCGAGAACCATGGATTTTCACTGGTATCGGTACCGAATACTGACATTTTGGTACCGTGACAACACTACTATATTGTATGACAAAGATGTGAGAAACTATGCCTGTCCACTCACCTGACACTATGACCCTGTACTCTGAACGCCTGGATGGAGGGCCATATCTGCCTCTGGGAGCTCCAACTCCACCACCACCTCCTCCACCTCCACCTCTTCCACCTCCCCTGCCACTCCTTGGGAACTCCACTCGAAGACGATAGCCATCATAGTCATAGCCATCTCGTCCATGTACAGCATCCTCTGCATCTCTGTAGACCGAAAATAATCAGTGCACAGAAAAGTGATGCACTTATAATCCTCATGGTTTACACGCAAGGCCGTTTGCGCATGCGCAGAATGTTTTTACTCCCAATCCAATGGTATTTACAAATTTAGAGCGTTTCATTAAAAAAAAAAAAATTATATATATACTGCATACTTAGGAGTTTTGTATACTTCTCAGAATTTTAGTTTAGCTGATATAGACATTACGTAAACTTCCCTACTTCAGTGTTACATAAGTTAATATAACTTAGTTGACGGATTTGCGCGCCTCATATGAGCACTTCATTTAGAAGACTAGTATTTGCGTATAAAACACGTATTTATATCATATAGCAAGTTAGAGAGATAACATCGTCTTGTTGACTATTCATTTAGTAACACATATACACGTAGTTTTGGGCTAGGCTGGGTTTGTGTTTAACGTAACGTTACCTCGGGTCCTCGAACTCCACGAATGCAAACGGCGGACCTCCTCTTCTGTTTTTAAGGTCGATATCCCGAATGGCTCCGTATTTATAAAACACATCCTCTACGTCCTTGGTGCGAATATCGGGGGGTAAATTACCTACGTATATCCGACAGTCGTTGTTCCCTGCAGGCCCTCGAATTACACCGCCAGACATTTTCAACCAGAAGTCTCACAAACGCCGTTGAGAATTTGTAAGGATTCGTTAGGTGATATGAAAGAAATCCTTTAGCACTGCTGTATCTATAAACGTTCACCAACTAATGCTACTGGTTACATTCAAAACGTTTATCTACCAAAGAAAAACAATACGATCCCTCCCAATATGGCGCCGTCCCTTTCTCCCTCAGCACACGCTCGCGACGCTCCGCGGAAGGATACGTGCTTGGCAGTACTGCGGCAGCTTTCACGAGTTAAATTGAAACCATGTCATTTTTATTTTGCGTTAAAACATTATGTGATCTGCATTTGATCGACATCACAAATCGTGTATCGGCATCAATGTTACACCCATTCAACCTGATCGAAGGTGGCGTAATCGTTTTAAACCTGCATGACTATTTCTTCGTCTGTTAGGCAGAATGTGAGGGACTTAGTCTGAAATAATCTCTTTTTAAAATTAATGAAGGGTCATTAAGACTGTCATAGTGCCTAACATATTTTTTCCCCCGTCACACTATTTTAAAACGACGATAAAATGATGATATAGTGTAACATGTCCCTTTTAAAATGCTTTAGTCATTTGTTGCAATTTTAATGCACCAAACCAGTATCTACTATCTATATATCTATATATATAGAGTACAGTCAGCTACTATATTATTTTGTGCAATGAACAATTCGAATTTTTGGTTGTTATTATGGGAATATTCTGGCAAAATATTAAAAACATTAAACTAATATACTTGTCATCAATTCTGTGAATGGTGGAAATTCAGCATGAAAAATACTTCCACTTAGTCCCTGGCACATTTGGTTTTTAGTTCAATTGTAAAACACACAGCTAAGGCTGAAATTTTGCATAAACACCAGATTTTCACATTTGAAATTAATACAGCTGTAAATAACACATCCTCACATTGTGGCATCGTTCCTGGATCTCTCTACAAACCCTTTGTAAAGTTAACACACACATCAAACCAAACATTCTGAGAAATTATTATAATATGTCATTAAACATAACCTAATGTTCTTTTTTTATCTTGCATGTTATTTTTGTTGCAACTATGAACCACAATATGCCTAATAAACCCTCACAAACCTGAGAAAATGAGATAATGTCCCAGTGTTACAGTGTCAAAACAAGAAGACATGCAGTGCACTTAATGTGGACAAAGAGAGAAATTACACATTGCACTCAAACAGAATTAATCATTTCACTCATTCATTGTTCAGTACAGCTGCCTTTGTAAATTAAAGCATATAATCCAGATTTCATATCAGTTCGTTTTCATCCGATGACGGACTCTTGGTCTAATAAAAAAAAATTAATGTACACCACACACATCATCTTTTAATGAATCAGTGTGTTTCTGTACATGCTACACAAGTGCAGCCATTAGTGTGCATCAAACAAGCAGTGCTTTCTCAGTCACGTTTGGCTTGTTTATCTGCTAGCCTTTGCTTAGCTTCACTCACAGTTTTCAGTAGCGAGAGCACAATAGGTACACACATGGGTAAGAAAAGAGGAATGTAGATGGCGAATTTCTGATCGTCTGGAAAATAAAGAAGATGCAAAAGAGATGGGTCAAAAAAGGCCCTCTCTGAAGCCAAAATGGCCTCCCTGCTGTAATGGAGCGCAAAAGCCAAGTTCCCAGCCTCCAACTCGGCGACAGCAGACTGGAGCGACGTCACTGCACTGGAAACCTGTGCGAGAAATAATAGCAAAATTTTGCATTTTATAATTCCTACTGTTCAGGACAAAACATTACAGCGGAACTATTTCTTTATGTGATGAACTATGAACATCTGGACCTCACACCTGCTGTGCGATGTTGTCATTGATGACGATGTTTCCAATCTGGTCGAGGAGCTGAGCGAGAGAGGTGATGGTGGTGCTGGCGGTGGCGATGTTCTCCACACTGCGGCTCCACAGGAGTCGGTCCAGCTCCCAGTCAGCCAGTCCAGCGCTGCCTGGACTCTGCAGCACAAAGCCTGTGGGAGGATGCGTACGCTGCACTCCCAGCATGAGCCTGGAAACAGAAGAAAGAAAGTGAAATGAAACACTTTCATCTGGGTAGACAGGCATTTTTACTTAAATGTATTCAAGTCAAAGTACTAACCGTAATTGTGCCAAGAACACACCCATCACTTTAGCCATATTAATGTTAATATCTACAGGACGTTCAGCTTCAGGTCCGTACATTTCATTCACATTGTACACCTGGGGATGTAGATGACAGATGAAAGAGAAAATATAGGCTTGTTTGCAACATCCAGCACATTCACACCATTACATATTATTCCCAATATTTAATAAAAGTACGGAAGCCCTGAACCGCAATGTGAAAAAAAACAAAAAACACAATAATCTATGTTTAAATGAATATATCTGGACAATACCATAATGCCGCCCCAACGAGGGCTGTGAAAGGCGTTAGAGGGCACCTCCCTTTTGCTGTGGTCTCTGATGTAGAGAGGAGAGTGGTGGGCATCTGGCACATACAGCAGGAAGTTCAAGACAGGGTTAGATGAAGCTGCATTGGAACCTGCGTGAAAGAGAATACCAGTAAGTGTAAATCTACATCATGGGCTTATACGGATCATTAAAAGCAGATCACATCAGTTATAGGTCAAATCTTACCTAGTCTGGCCTCAACAGGGTTGATAACATGTGACAGGCTGTCTGCACCGAGTGTATATGCTGACACACTGTTGTCAAAACGAGGGTTCACACCCAGAACGGCATAATACAGAATCTGAAAAGATCAACCACAACTGACAAATAGCAGAGGAGAATTTTAGCTGGACAGTATTTCCAAAATATTATATCAAGAATGAGAATTACATGTTATATACAACACACACACACACACGTACATATACATGTACACACATACATAATGAGTTATGTTTGTTCAATGTTTTGCTCAATGGAACTCTGTTGGAAAGCTGTTGATATTAAATAACCACACAGTAATACCTATTTTTTTTATTAAATTTAAATGAAAGGAAACAATTAATTTTATTGTATTATTTTGTTCTTGTATTTGAAAGTTGATGAATGCAAACCAAAAAAAACAAGGAATTCATAACAAAGGAATGATATATCTGGGATCAGTGAATGAGAACTTCAACTTTAATGTGAAAGTGTGAAGAATATAAATTAAAAAAATAAAAAATATTAAAAGGCTTAAATCAACAACTAATATTATGAAATATTAAAATTCTGACTCCAAATACTGACTGAATGAGTCTCAAAACTGTTGTAAAATATTCTCTTGCACCACTCCATGTTTCATCATTTCTCTTATGAGTAAAAAAAAAAGCAGCTCTAATAGTTCTGCAAATTTATCTGTTGTTGCATAAACAGTACAGCAAATTCTCTACGGGTGGACACACATTTGTAACCGTTGCAAGGTACAGAATATTCCGTCAGCCCTGTGAGAAGTCACATTTGTTAGAGTCCACACAAACTACAATGAAACTGTTCTAAGGTACCTGAGAGTCCACTGAAAAGTTGGCTATAGGAGCAAGTTTGTTCAATAAAGGCTGAATGTAGCTTTGAACGGCACCCTCGATATCCCAGTGAAGACTGTGCGACTTTGGGTCTGGGTTGAGCAGACTGAATGTGATCTCATAGCCTAAAAGAAGGCGAAATTAGATTAAGAACATTAAATGAGTATGCTATTGAGAAAACAAGCCAATACTCACCAGGACTGGATTTGATGGTCCTCATGCTGTCTGCCATACTCTCCTTATTCACTTTGGTCATGCGGACACGGTTGCTCAGAGCAGCTACGATATCCTGGTGACCGAAGGACATGGTGCTTACCACCTGCTTCACGTCCACGTCCAGATTTGATAGGACTTCCTTCAGACTCCAAGAACTTGTAAAGGGAGGGGAACGTAGCAACGCAGTGCGCCGTTGCCCTACATACACTTTTACATCCTGAAAGTAAACAGCCAGAATGAGCTTCAGAAGGGATTTCAGTATGGATTTTTTGAAAAAAAAATACACAAATGCTCTGAATCTTACCACTGGCAGAAGGGCCGAGGACTCAGGGATCACATACACAACCACAGACCCACAAGAATTCTCAGAGAGCATGTGTAGGGATAGATCTGCCTCTGTGGAATGAGAAGTAAACAGCTCAAGGATAGATAAGTACCATTAGAGAAATTAACTTACTTTTAAAAATGAGTGATAAAACCTACATTTTCGTTCCGTATAATACGGAATCGTCCCGTATTTAAAGGGACGATCATATGATGCTTTTTTTAAAGATCATTATTTTGTGTATTTGGTGTAACAGAATATGTTGACATGCTTTAATGTTCAAAACACACATTATTTTTCAAATACTGTACATTATTGTAGGTCCTCTATGCCCCGCCTCTCTCAAACGCTTCGTTTTCTACAAAGTCCCTCCTTCCGACAAGCGCAGTCTGCTCTGATTGGCCAGCTGACCCAGTGCATTGTGATTGGCTGAACACCGCAAGCACTCGTCGGAAATGTAACGCCCCTTATCATAATCGCGAGCTTCATCTTTCAAAATAAATGTAAAGACAGAGCCCGAAAGGGGAACAGAGCGTGACAGACACAGTGATGAACCTGGTGTGTGTTTGTGATGTGACCCCGTCTCTCTCTCTCTCTCTCTCTCTCTGCACACAAACACACACGATGCGCAAAACTCCGCATTTGAACAGTCAATAGCAAATACTTAAACTAATAACAAAACAGTAGCTGATTCAGAAGCGCCAGATTGTCATAGCAAAGTCAGAATTACCTCCTCTCCTAGGTTCACGAAACGCTCGTCCATAAAATGCATTGCTGTTCTGTTGTAAGTGATCTTAAAGATTCCTAAATGCATCTACTTTCAGAAGGCCAAATAAAGTGCTTTTGCTTTCGTCTAGAAACACACAGCGTCTCCCTGACATGGCTGCTTCAACACTAACTGCGGTTACTGAAACCACGCCTTCTTTCTTTGCGTGAACATTTGGGCGGCATTATGCTAATATTTCCACATAGTGAGGTAGATATGTGGGGGCGTGTTAGAACGAGCCGTTTTAGGGGGGCGTGGCAGAGTCTTAACTTTGATAAAGAATATCTCTTTGGTTTTGAGACTTTAGTCTTTGCAACTTCAGGGATCTTATCTCTGCACAATCAGCTTGTAACACTCCAAAGAGAAAGGAAAACTTGAAATCGCATCATATGACCCCTTTAATAACTGACTAAATAATCATGTGAATGTTGTTTTTTTATTTCAAAAACTGTTGTTGAGCATTACATTTTCTATTATTTGTCTGTACAAAACACTGATGAATCCCCATAAAAAACGTGTTTATTTGTATACCCTAAAGAAATAATTAGCAACGAGAAATCCTCTCAACCTGCAGCAGTGGGCTGATTCAAGGCATCTTCCTCCATTATAGTGGCAGTGCGATACCTGGTTTCATATTTGTACCTCAAACCTGTTTTAGCTGGAGAGGAGAAGGGAACAATGTGTTCTGTATATCAATACATTTTCTGTTCTTTGTGTTTAACAAAATTTGTTCATTTTGTTTAGTTGAAGCTTCCAAATAGTTTCAGAAATCGATCACTTGCCATCAACTTGGTGCTCCTTTACATTGACATGACTAAGTGGAACCTTTTTCTGCTGTTCTGGGGTTAGTGTTCCTCGAGAGAAGACCACCTCGATATCAACGCTTAGCTGGAGCTGTCAAACACATGATAATGTCTCATTTCTGAACTCATAGTTTCACAGACATGATTCTGCGTGTTACCTGGAGGGAGTCGAGTTGGCTGATCTCGGAGTAAGGGAGCCAGGCGCGGTAGGTCTCTGTGGTCTTCCACCAGAGTGGGATGCCCACCACAATGACCACCGCAGCGATGGCAAGGACAGCATTTCGCACTCGCTGCTTTTCTGACCAAAACGATATAGCAGGGAATATTACTACATTGGAACTACATATTCACTGAAACTGAGGAAAACACAGAATGTGCTATTATACATTGACAAAAAAACATAGTGAGTGACAGTGACCCAACCCTGACTTTCAACATAACTAAACTAGCGATACGCTGACATTTGGCTTTAGTGTTTAACATGTGAACATTGAAATAATTTCGAAAGCAAAATAAGGAAATCGTTTTGAATTCATGCACAGGACTCACCAAGCTGCAGGGCTGCCATTGTTGCGGTGTGAAATGACTACCGCATACCCCGCTATTGGAGAATTCTATCCAATCAGACGACAGAAGGCGTCCAATCAGAGTTAAAGGCAGGCGGGTTTAAAGTCACTCGCACTTCTTCCATTTTCTGCCGGTTTGCGGTTCAAAAATAATGCCAGTTTTAAAGGGTTAGTTTACGGTTCACCCAAAAGAATAAAAACATAAAGTAAATAATTATAAAAAACTAAATGAAAACTAAAATAAATAAGCAAATCCTGTCTTTGTTTACTCATTCTCATGTGCTAAACCTATATGCGTGTATTTCTTCTGCAAATCACATTAGAAGATCGTTTGAATAATGTTGATAATGTTTTGGTTACCACCGACTTCCATTGTATGGACAAAAAACAGTGAGGCATTTTTCATAATATCTTCTGTCAAACACATGATAATGTCTCATTTCTGAACTCATAGTTTCACAGACATGATTCTGCGTGTTACCTGGAGGGAGTCGAGTTGGCTGATCTCGGAGTAAGGGAGCCAGGCGCGGTAGGTCTCTGTGGTCTTCCACCAGAGTGGGATGCCCACCACAATGACCACCGCAGCGATGGCAAGGACAGCATTTCGCACTCGCTGCTTTTCTGACCAAAACGATATAGCAGGGAATATTACTACATTGGAACTACATATTCACTGAAACTGAGGAAAACACAGAATGTGCTATTATACATTGACAAAAAAACATAGTGAGTGACAGTGACCCAACCCTGACTTTCAACATAACTAAACTAGCGATACGCTGACATTTGGCTTTAGTGTTTAACATGTGAACATTGAAATAATTTCGAAAGCAAAATAAGGAAATCGTTTTGAATTCATGCACAGGACTCACCAAGCTGCAGGGCTGCCATTGTTGCGGTGTGAAATGACTACCGCATACCCCGCTATTGGAGAATTCTATCCAATCAGACGACAGAAGGCGTCCAATCAGAGTTAAAGGCAGGCGGGTTTAAAGTCACTCGCACTTCTTCCATTTTCTGCCGGTTTGCGGTTCAAAAATAATGCCAGTTTTAAAGGGTTAGTTTACGGTTCAACCAAAAGAATAAAAACATAAAGTAAATAATTATAAAAAACTAAATGAAAACTAAAATAAATAAGCAAATCCTGTCTTTGTTTACTCATTCTCATGTGCTAAACCTATATGCGTGTATTTCTTCTACAAATCACATTAGAAGATCGTTTGAATAATGTTGATAATGTTTTGGTTACCACCGACTTCCATTGTATGGACAAATTAACAAATGGTCTGGCTCAGTTTCGTATTTTTAAAGGGGTGGTTGATTGCGATTTCACTTTTTTAACGTTAGTTAGTGTGTAATGTTGCTGTTTGAGCATAAACAATATCTGCAACGTGACGAAGCTGAAATTTAAATGCAAACGGAGATATCGTCTTTTAAAATTCTGGCAGTTTAATGCCTACAAAAACGGCTGGTAGGGACTACAACGAGTTACTTCCCGGGTTCGTGACATCACAAACCCAGATAAACCCCGCCCTCGGGAAAAGACCACAAAGGGAGCGAGGCCATGCTGCTTTAGAGAAGAGGAAGAGAAAACTAGAAGTGCACGTAAAAATCTATTCATATATGAATCGCAATCCTAATGGATTCACAAGTTTCAAAATCAATGTTCTAAAACAGCGGTTCTTAATACTGTTCCTCGCGTCGCCCTGCTCTGCATCTCTCTCTCTCTCTCTCGCTCATTCAGCTCAACTCCAACAATGAACTGTTCCAATTATACACTTATTTACACACAGCTATGAGAAGTGTTAAACATGGATGCGCGTGCAGTTGCCGTACTGTATTAAAGCTTTAATCAGGATAAAACTGTATATTAAAAGCTAACATAAGCAGTAGCATTTACAAATAACAGCGAGATCTAAAAGTATGAGACACCATCAAACAAAAAACATAAGCCTACCATTAAAAGCCGTGCTTGCGCAGGTTCTGTGTGATCCTCTTCAATAATAAGATCCGCTTCTCAATTGATGGTAAACTGATAAGCGATATTAAGGACGCCATTGTTTACAACACAACCGGAGCACATGCCGCTGAGGTGAGGGGCGGGACGATTAGACGTGCACTAGAGGCGGTTTAGCCAATCACAAGACACTGGGCTAGCTAACCAATCAGAGCCCATCGCTTATTTCTGAGGGCGGGGCTTCTTAAAAGAAGGAAATGATCAGCGTAGAGAAGGGGCAGAGCGGTGTGGAATAAAGGTAAATTATGTGAAAAATAATGTGTTTTTTTTTTTTTAAACAAAGCATTAACATGTTAGACTGCACCCCATAAACACAATCAAGCCTAGAAAAAAAACACTGAACCACCCCTTTAATATTGTGGAGAAAATATTAATTCATCATCATCAAATCTATATTTTTGGTAATTAAAAGTAAACATTTTTACAACAATTAGGTATTATTTTATCAAGCACATCTAATTGGTCTCACAACACAAACATTGGATTCGTGCCTCCAATGCTTTAAAACCATTATGGAACTCCAGAGTGTACCATATTTGTGAAATGTGCCGCCATTAATTTTAGAAACAGTTAACAGACCCATTAAATTATGCTGGGGGTCTGTTGAGGAAAGCTCAAATGGAATGAATGTGTAAATGTGAAACTAAGATATGGCTCAAAATGTGTGCAACGGGTGTATGAAATAATAAACCTGCATAATAATAACAAACAAAATCTGGGGTTTTACAGTACTTTATTTGAGTTTTTACTATCTGACACACAAAGTGCTTAGAGAACATCAAATCACAATATCACATTTTGTCAACAGAGCAGTGAGTGCTCCCCTCCCCAGGGGCTCCACAGTTTGGTTTACTCCACCGTTTACAACCAATAGAAGTTATTATTCATGTAGGAGAGGGAGAGCATGATACACTCAAGCACACAACACAACAGAGCACAATTTGAAAATAATGGTCCTTTTCAAACTAATATCGTTAGTACTTTATATTAAATTTCTTGAACCGTAATCACACAGCCCAAACAATCATATTATATGTGAACACAACGCAAAATAATATTTCTCAGAGTCTGGTGGAGTTATTCATAACTAGCAATTACATATTACTCCATTTCATTCCCAATTATGATAAACTGCCCCTGCTGGCACACACTGATCTGAAGTCAGTATTCACATCTTCCACACAATCATCGTGAGGACCGTCAACTCTAGTGGCTGGTGCCTGAATTGGAATGACTTATGTTGGAATAATAAAAACTGAACGCCTGACATATACATCCATTTAAAACCAGCTAACGGGCCACAAAAAAAACTGTTTTTTTGTTTTTGTTTGTAGCATGAAATCACACCTAGAATAATAATATCCTGCGTACCTTTCTATTTCTCCTCTCCATTTCTAAAGATTAATACATTTTAAATAGATACATTATGAGACATTGTAATGACAACCCTACAGTACAGAAGACAGCGCAGGCCTGTGATTGGTTGGTGACAGGAAGGGTAGCAGCTGTGCACTATACTATTGGCTGGCGGAAGCTGGAACGATGGGATGCAGAATGTTCAGTAGGCATGATTGGCCACGTACAGGGACTGTCCTGCTGATTCACCGGTTCCAGAGGAGATGTACTTGCCTTGAGCAGCCAATCCATTAGCCTGAGGAAAGTTCACAAAAGGTCAGTTTATTTGGTCTGAATCAGCAGTTCACATTGACAAAGAACAAAACAACTGTAGCCTATCAATTCAAACCGATTCAACTGCTAGCTCTATTGTTAATAATTTGATCATTTTTATTATATTATTTATTATAAAATATTATTTAAATGTTATATTATTTCATATAAAATTATATATCATATTTACATTAGAGTTGGGGTACTCAGACTCGTACTCTGATTCGAGTCCAGTCTCGAGTACAACTTATAGTGGACTTGGACTGGTATTTTGGGACTCGAAAAACATTTCCGATTCCAGCGACAGTCGATGGAAATCTCTCTGACTCGATGCATTGTCACGAAAGTGCCATTCAGTATTTGCATGTGTTTTTAAGTCTTGCCAGTACTTACATTAGTTAAGTATTAGGTTTTGCTGTTGTATTGAAATTATTGCTTTTTTTTTTTTTTTTTTAAACATGCTGTCAGCTTCTAACGTCAAAGAAAAAGAATGTTTCTAACATCTTTGTGGCAGTAGTTTTTATGGGTCGAAAACCACCTTGGGTGAGCATTATTTTCGAATAATGCAATGACCCATCGTCAATTATTCCTTACATAAATGTAATTTATTAACTATAAATGCATTCAAAAATAAAACAGTTGCGAGTTGGCAGAGAGTTATGGAATGTACATGTAGGTCTTTTATACACAGTGTGTGCCATTATAAAGACTAGGTTTATTAAATGCCGTCTACCCTGTCTAAGGTCTAACCATTCATCATATAAAACCCATACAGCCACAGAGATAAGAGGTGCATTTTTTGCACCAAGCTACCCCAGTTACCACATCCCCCATTTAAATTGATGTTGCCCTTTTCTTCTTGTAAAGGTTAAAACAAGTTTAAAGGGATAGTTCACCCAAAAAAGAATATTTGATGTTTATCTGCGTACCCCCAGGGCATCCAAGATGTAGGTGACTTTGTTTCTTCAGTAGAACACAGACGAAGATTTTTAACTCAAACCGTTGCAGTCTGTCAGTCTTTTAATGGAAGTGAATGGGAATCACGGCTTTAAGAGTAAAAAAAAAAAACATACATAAACAAAACCAAATTAAACCCTTCGGCTCGTGATGATACATTGATGTGTAAAGACACGAAACGATCGGTCTGTGCAAGAAACTGAACAGTATTTATATCGTTTTTTTTTTACCTCTGATGCACTACAATGTCTGAACGGTCCTGAGCGGTCCTGAGGGCCTCCTTAACAGCAGGAGCTAATGCATCTTCTTCATAAGTCTGCGATCCGCCGTAAAGCAAGAAGAAGAAGAAGAAAAAGACACGTCACATGCCAGCTGTCGAGGACGGGCTCAGGACAGTTCAGACATTGTAGTGCATCAAAGGTAAAAAATTATATAAATACTGTTCAGTTTCTTGCACAGACCGATCGTTTCGTGTCTTTACACATCAATGTATCATCACGAGCCGAAGGGTTTAATTTGGTTTTGTTTGTATATGTTTTTTTTTACTCTCAAAGCCGTGATTCGCATTCACTTCCATTATAAGACTGACAGACTGCAAAGGTTTGAGTTAAAAATCTTCGTTTGTGTTCTACTGAAGAAACAAAGTCACCTACATCGTGGATGCCCTGGGGGTAAGCAGATAAACATCACATTTTTTTATTTTTGGGTGAACTATCCCTTTAAGATTCTGACAAACAGTAGTATGTAGTTGGACTCGGACTTGAGTCCGACTTAGCCCATTTTGGACTCGGACTCGACTTAAGTGGACTCGAACCCAACACTAATTTACATAATTCTATATACCGTCTATATTAAATTATACATAACATTTTCAGTTCTTTAACATAGCTATGCATATATATGGTTTAGTGATGCATCAAATCGAAACAGCAAAACTGAAATTTAAGTTTTCATTTTGCGCAACTATATTTCTGTAATTGCGTAAATGAACTCTGTATGCTGTTCTCACATGATAAATGAAACCAGTATTTCAGCTGAACAAATTTACATCTTGCTACTTTAGGATCCATTTCGGTCACAATGAAGTGCATTGACACTGCTGACATGTTTACCTGCTGTAGTGTGCATAAAATAGATGCATCATTGGAGAAGCTCTAATTAAAAAAAAACCGCTTCAATCAATGGTTTCAGCTTTCTTAAACAATTTTGGTTAAAACTGAATTTTTATTATTTGTTTGCTGTTATGGCTGAATGTTTTTGGTTGCTGAAATTTCAGTACATCACTAATATTATATGCT